ACTGGGCTCTGGTTTCAGACAGAGGGTGAAAAGAGGTGCTGCAGCACAGGCAGTGTGAGATAAATAAAGGGCTTTTTGAACATTAAAGCATGTAACAACGTCACAATAGAGGCACAACATGTAAACATATATTTGTCATACTGAGTATTTTTTTATTTAATAAAAAGGAACTTTAGTAATACTTTAACCGTTTCAAGTTGATTTGGAGCGAGAAATATATTTCTATATAGCATCTTTTGTTGATTGCATTGACTAGGTATTGAAAAGTGTGCTGACAAATGAAAGAAAATGTTTGGCAAGTTTCCTAAGAAATAATGACATTGTTTCAGCTGTAGATTACTTTTTGAACAGCCTATCTTTACGAGTTAAACATATATATTTATCCAGGGGGTTGGTTAGTTCACAAGCATGATCTACAGTATCTTAGGTTCAAATAAAACTGTTTGATAATGTCTGCCTGCATTGTCCTGCTCTCTCTTACAGTCAGTCGTCCAGCTCACTGACAACTAGGGTTGCAAAGGGGCGGAAAGTTTCCGGAAAGTTTCCATGGGAAGTTAAGCTGGGGAATTTTGGAAATATTCGATGCAAAATTAAACAAAAAAACATGACATTTAATTTTTTTTTTTAAGTAGAACAGAACAAGTTTTTATTATTTTATTGAACAATTATTTGTTTCATTGAAGAACGAAAACACGAATGTTGAGTTAAATGTTACTCATCCCCCCCAACCCCACTCATTCAAAAATGCACCCCCCATCCAAAAATCCCCACAAAGTCCCATTCAAAATGTTAAATGAAAAGATTTGTGAGCCTGTTGTGAACTTTTGTGTGGTCTCAATAGCCATGCAGTAAGCAGTGTGCTATGGCATGGATATTCAAGTGTACTTGAATGGCATCTGTTTGTTTTAGTCAAGATTAAGCTAAAATATACTTTCCCCGACTATATTTAAGTTCCCTGGGAAGAGCCAGCCTTCAATTTTGAAAATTCAAAGTTTATTCCCATAAATTCCCGTGGAAAGTTTCCATCTTTAAAAATTCCCAGAATTGTGCAACCCTACTGACAACCCACCAATGTACTTTGCAAGTCACTGCCCTTTGATACAGCCGCAGACAGACTTTTTTCCCCAGCACACTCTGATTTTCCCTGTACTGAAATGTCACATAACAATTAGCTTCAATTATTCCAGCCTGAAAAGTATGCAGGTTCACAGCAGGCTGGGTTCTTTGATAGCATTGTCTGTGCACTTGCCCCCTTTGAGCTTTTGGATATGAGCGTCTACTCTCAATGCACTTTAATGCAAGGCCTGAAGAAATGAAACACCTTTTTTTAGATGCTAGAACTGAAGTGAGAAACTTGAAATATATTCTCAATGTTTAAACTGTCACTAACTCATGGGAAACAGGAAGAGATTAACAGTTTAGCGGTACCACAATTTGGTTACATTGTGCAACACCAAAGCCATCCAGTTCAAAAAGGTAACAAAAACCAAACCAAGCTGACCTGCTGTGCGACTCCACTGTACACATCCTGAGGCAGCTCACAGGGCGTGAGGTTGACTGATGTGGCACCAATAATATCTCTGCCCAGAGCAGCGTAGTGCTGGAGACCATTACAAGAACCGTCCTGCAGGAGAAAAGGAGAGGGATTAAAGCGAGGAGAGAACACAGGCAGAAAAGGAATAATCAGCACACAATCAGAGCGGGCAGCACAGGGAGAAAAAGGTAACGGGTACACAAAGGAATATGGATGTTAAAGAATAGCAAACATACTAAAAAGAGGAAACAGAAATGGGGACAGAAAGGGCAATATGAAATACATGAGCATCAGCTAAATGGAGGAGAAAAAATATATTTTGTTAAGGCTTTTAGTTCATACCATATTCACTCTGTCAAAGCCACAAAGTGAAGCTTGCACTTTACGCCAGACCGTCAAACCGTCAATGAGCATTTTAAATGATCTGCACCATTCAAAGAAACATCTGGACCGGATTTGGTATCAGACTTGCGGTTAACAATTAACTGATGATATATTTGTTTATCATTTACACTCAATTAAAAGTCACTGGTGGTCAGTGTTACAAAATTAAAAAGACACAACATGAATATTGCAAAAAAAGTTAGCCACAATCCTGGAAGCTGCAGAAGTTATCTTATTTATTTTATGTCTGTCCTAATGTGACATTAACCTGAATGTCTCTCTACTTTGCCTAAAGTTCTGTAACTTTCATTAAAAGTCTCTCACACAAGTCTCCTTTGGCTTCTTAGATCCTTTCCTTTATTTATTAACTCATTATCTCAGTTCACATTAGTTAACATCAATGGGACAGACTCAGCTAAAAGGCTCATTTTTTCTACAGACCAAGAGCAGATTGATGATCAAAGCTGAGTAGTTGGGTGGGTAGTCTGGCCATATTGATTACACTGCATTTCATGTTAATATAGTTTATATTATGCTTTTTACTTTGTATAAGTTTAAACTCTGGAATCAGAAACAATATTGGCACTTTCTTTACTTGCATTTGTATTGGTTTGCTTTAAAAGGACTGGGTTCTGGTTTCAGACAGAGGGTGAACATTAAACATGTCGCAGTAGATACACTAAATACATATATGAGGGACTGCGGATGGAAATGTGCTTAAAGCTGAATCTGGCACTGTTACGCTTGATACATTTGAATGTTTTAAGTGTTCATTACTGTGCATTGTCCCTGCCAAATAAACAATTCAATAAATATATGAACCTAGCATAGTTGGGACCCTTTCATTGAGTTTGACATGTTAATGTTTGGTATGTCATTCAGAGGAATTATATCAAATGTGTACATTCCTAAAATATCATAAAGAGGTTTGTTTTTAAGTGCCAAATAAAAGGAACATTATATCACGATGTTGACGAAGGTCTTAGGGGCAGACAGTGTTGCTTTGCTCTAAAAAATAAAAGCTTGAGATAATGCTTAAACCTGTATATCATCTGTATGTATTATCTGGACACCTGACATACGTTTCCTCAGTAAGTGGGCTTGAAATAATCGTAACCATAAACCCAACACTGGCACTCGTTGAGGAGTTGTCTGTTGCTTTTGTTTGTATCCGAGTACAGGATATCTGAGGCTGTGGTCTGTGCGGTGAGATTAGAGCTACAGGTTTCTAACAGATACTATAAATGGCCCCAGATGGCAGGCGATGTTTTGCCTTGTTAACTTCGATGTGCCCTGTAAAACAGCACTATAAAGCATGACTGAATGATTTTGAGGATAATCGCTTCTAATCATCTTATTTTATTTTTAAATCTTTGTTTCACCCAAGAGATGAATTTAATTTCTATTCAGCAGTTGAATGACTTATTAAATAACACATCAGTAGGAGATGGGACATGAGATTCAAACCGCTACACGACTCTGTAAACAGATAAATAATTAGTTCAGGTGTTTTATGGTACCTGGTGAACAGGAAAATGAGAGATGAACCGCGTTGGGTCGGGAGATCTCACAGCGTTGGCTATCTCCATGCAGCAGCCCAGAGCCTGCCAGGGCTCATCTGCATTCATCCACCACTTCTTACCCTGACAAAGACAAACACATTATCCTGCATACATAAACACCACCGGGAAAAGCATTTTACTTTTTGATTTGACAGACATTCATATCCCCTTTAGAATGAGTCACCTCTACAGCTGACCCCAGTAAGAGAAAGGGATATGCTATAATCTGCATTTTGAATACTGATCAGTGCACTACTCATTCTTTATGACTATTGCTGTATAAAAAAAGGTACGTTTCAAACAATTATCTCGTCTTCAGCATTCATTTCTTTAACAATAATAATATGCCACTGTATTCTGTATATTGAAATATACACGTTTTGTTCTAAAATGGAGCAAATGGCAGTAAACCAGATTCGCCTCCAGGATATATAAAGTATTCTAATTCCAATTCTGGCTGCATATATTAAAAGAATGGCAGGCTTATTTGAATAGAATAAGAAGTTTTAACTATAACCTATGTAGAACTATTAATGTCTCTCTGAACTATGGATAAACAGGACAGAGAAATAAAGAGAAACTGACAGTGAGAGGGTTGTCGGCAGAGTCCAGGATGTCCTCCATGATGCTGTTGGCGTACTCCAGCCGTCCCTCCAGTGAGCTCTTCTTCATCAGTCCCGTCAGATTGACTAAGTGGATCTTTATCCAGTCAAGTCCCTTTGGACCCAGGGGCTTCCCATCTGCAAACACGAGGACAGCCCGTGTGACATCACTTCCTAGGTGATTAAAGTGCGGGGGACAGGGGTAGGTTCGTCCACGGAAGTCCATGTTGTGAGGGAACCAGAAGACCTCATCCCGCATGCAGTTGGCGATGGAGAGTTTATAAAGAGCGTCCATTCGCAGGCTGTGCATCTCACTGCCCTTCTTCCTGGCATTACTCACCTCCCTCTTCATCTGGGCCTTCTCAGAAGACGTACTACTGGGATCTTGGGCGCTGAAATGGGGTATTTTGGGGGCTTCTGACAAAGGAGGAGGGATGTCTAGCTTATCATTACCACGATCATTAAAGATGGAGATAATAATATCCAACAAAGGCTTATTGATCCTCCATGCACAGTTGCCCAGCTGGTTGAGAGTGTCCAGGACCGCATGGAGGTTCTGGCATTGCTCCAGCAACTCCATGTGCTGCGTGGCTCCTTCCGCTGTGCGCATCAGCTGGCTAGGTGTCAGCAGGTAGGCTCCGGACTTGACTGAATTCCAGGGCACAGGAGGGCACAGCATTGGCATCACATAGGAGTCAAAGGTTAACTTGGTCTCCATGGCTTCCAGCTGGATCTGAGACAGGATGGGGTGAGGTTTGATGAAGCCGACCTGCAGGGTGAAACATCGGAGCACATCCAATTAGAAGCCAAACATAGCAGAAGAAAACATGAATGTGAATTCTCATAAATGAATACCAGTAGATGAGATACATAATCTGTTTCAGAGCAGTTACAATCAGAACCCAACAACTAGGCTAAGCACTACTTCGATTGATATTAGTCCTCTGTTTATCACCAATTAATATCAGATCACTGACATCCACAGAATACTATGATATCTGCTCGCACATTTTCCATTACAGACTGAAAACCCTTCTCTCTTGACCGCAACTTGGCAACAAACAAAAAAATCACTCTTCTGTAGATAGCACTTTGTATTATTTAAAGGAGTAGTAGCAATTGGATATAGTTGGTCTATTGATAGCTTTGTATCTGCAGGATTCTTGCTTTAAAAAAAAGATGATTTCTTAATGGTTGAATGCACTCATTAATAAAAGCGCCGGCTTAATAAAATGTAATTGAATGTTATATGAGAGAAAACTTGTAGGCCAATCATTTACACCACGGCACTGGTTTGTCGCATTCATATTTTAAAAGTGGTCAGGGAAATTCTGGAGATTTTACATTTGAGATGATCTGCTCAAATGTTTTCTTTTATTGAAGTATCTAAAAGCCTGGTCAGGAGTCAGGTTGATATTTTGTTCCTAGGTCACGTTTCTGATGTGAATGATTGTGTCCTAGTAATACACATACAGCATGTAAGACTGGAAATATATACCATCATTACAAAGGCTATACCAACACCTCAGCATTGCGTTGCATGAGTCAGTGTGCCACGCTGGGATATCAAATCATTAGGATGCTCCCCTGATGGGCTAACCTCCGAGGAAAGAGGAACAATAGGAGAAAAGAAAGTAGAAGGAGAAAGAAATGCATATATATATCGTTTTGTATAAAATAAACTTAAGAGTAAAAGTCTGCAACAGTGTCAGAGTGCATCAAATCCAAAAAGTCCACAAATCCCCCTCTCTCTCTCTCTCTCTCTCTCTCTTCCTGCTCTCTCCCCTGACACGGTCGGCTCACCCCCCTGCAGGGTCCCGTGGCAGTAAATCAGCGAGCCAATTAAGGGGACACTAAAAAAGGGATTAGCCACGAACCTATTCATCTTACTCGACTTTTCCCCCTGCCAATTCTCACGAGGGGAGAAATGGTTTTATTATTCACACTCTTCGGAGCCTCACATTGAATAGGTGGGTGCACAAGTGTTCGAGGCAAAAGGCTTCAGAGGGAAAGACTGCCTTCTTTTCCACAGTGAAGGTTAAGGGATTTCCTTTGTTTCTGCTCCACTGTAGATCTTTTTCCATTTTACAATATTAACTGTACAACTACTTAAACTAGGCCCGGTTAATCTTCTTATCTGACTGAATTTGTGTCATTTTCAAAAAGTCCCCATTAATATTATCATTTGATTTGACTGACTGTGAGTTCTCATAATAACAGATCATTGAGTTTATTTTGAAACCTTTTGAAAATGTTCTTCAACTTTAGGTTGCTGGAGATCCTTTTAAATATAATCCTTGACCTTTTTTCCATATAAATCTCAGATGAAAGGATCTTCTTTGGTCTGGGAACCAAACGCTCAGGAATCCTGTTATGAGGTTTTCTATTTTTGCAAAACCGTTTCAGTATGATTGCTACCAACTCCAGGCTAGCAACTTCTTTTGATATCCCTGTGAGTACTTAGAGAAGACTTCCACTGTACCTGTCGTGTGCTGCGAAAGGTGTACATATGGTAGATGAGGGGTATGAACTTCTTGTCGAAATCGGGATTCAGGATGTCGCTATTAATTTTGATGTTGCTGACCATCAGATCCACCATGTACATGCCCAGCTCCAGGGTTACTATGAACGGCAAATCGCTCTCTCCTCCCTGCAGCGAGGGGCCTGAACTATGGTCCGTCACTATCTTACACCACTGCTCTCTGGGAAGGGTGTCAAAATCCTAGAAGGAGAAGAACAGGAGTGTTTTTATTTAGTAAGGATTACGTTTTCACTCATCACAATAAGCTACAGTGTTTTTTAACGCATGTTGACACAAAAGATCAAAGAATGTGTCAAAAAAGCACTGTTTTTGTGATCTAATGAAAAGCTAGCTTTCATATTTCAAGATATCATGAATCCTGTTAAAGTCTAGAGGTATTAAAGGTTCTGCCAAGACAAGAAACCACAGATAGGGAGCCTTCAGGAAAAAGATGATACAAGAGAATAGAGACATTAGTTGGTACTCGGACAAGGAAGTAATAAGTTGGATTAATGATTTGTGTCATAACTAGGGATGCCAGCGATTGTTCGATTTTTCGAATATTCGTTACAGTCTCTATAATCGAAAATTATTTTAAAAAAATCGATTTTATTTATATATTTTTTGATTATTATTTATGTTTTTCTTTTTTTTCTGGCTTAGTTTCAACCAAGGAAAGGGGGGTGAGGGCGGCGAATAATCGATTAATATTCGCCAGGGCTTTCCGATTTTGATTGTGGTCAGTTTCTGGCATCCCTAGTCATAACAGCAAAGAAAAATATAATAATAGGCATATTTTTAACTACAAAGGCTGCATGTAAACAAACAACTAACTTCTAGTATAACTAGGTACAGGAGTATAATGAGCTGTTGCTCATTACAGTCCTGATGACACAGCGGTTTCGCCCCCAGCGGACAAAGACCATAAAAACAGAGTCAGTGAACGGGCTGACACAAAACTTTGAAACAGAGCACCAACTAAAATATGCATGACAACTTTATCTACATTTCTTGTTAAATGTAATGCAACTTAAAATGTCACATTAGCATAGTATCTGATGTAACAGAGTAAAACCAGTACTTAGGTATTGTTCAAAGAAAAGAAATGAGAAGACGTTGGGAATGGTGATACTCTACCTTTCCATCTTTTGCCACCAGGCCCGTGTAGGTGTTGTAAATATTGTTCAATTTTTCCACCGTCTGATTGTGTTGCTTCTGCCTCACGGAGTACTTGGTGTTGACCCTGCCGCCCAGATATTTGGCTAGAATCTTCAGCGCCTCTCCACTTGGAGGCAGTTCGTCAATACTCTGAGGTGTGGGACACAGATAAAAACGTCAAAACATTTATAAACCAATCGTTCAGTCAGAGGGGAAATCAATGTAAAAAACGGTATATTCAGAATTAACAACACATCCCGTGTGTTTGTCCGTGTTGGAAGCAGAGGTATCTGATTAAAACAGGCTCTTTGTTGCTGCCAAAGAGAAAGCATGATGATTTTGCAGCTGTTGTCACTGTCAGATACATGATTTGTGTTGTGTGGCTTTGTGGTCCTACCGCAGTATCGAAAAAAATCAGCTACAAATCGTTTTTTGTATAGTGTACTAGTACAGACGGACAGGCAAGTCTTCGTTAAATCCAAGACTTTCTGCATTTCATTGAGCTGTATGCTGGGCTGGAGGGGTTGTATTACCTGTATCATGATGTCAACATAGTCTTTATCCTCTAGCACACAGAGGTAGGGATAAAGGTTATGCCTATTGTCCGTAGTGTTGGTGTTAGCCAGGATCGTTTTACTCTCCCTCAGGGCCTGGAGGAGGCTCGTGTGCCACAGGACCCGCTGAACCGCCAGCAGCTTCCTCTGAAAGGACAAATATCTGGAAGTCATCCTCATCTCATAACAGAGACTGATAGCAGGAAACAAATAAAGAATGTGACAATTGTCAAACAGAATGCATTGTTGCTTGTTTATCACACACTGGATGAACCCAATTGACATGGTTATGAATTGTGAAGCAGCAGATGGGGCCACCTCTCACTAGACATTGTGTAGCATGAGAGAGTGCATGGTATTTGATGGTTGAGCTTTACCTTTAGACGAAAAGGGGAAAAGCCTTATTCTCTTAAGAGGAACACATCTGTTATTGTGATTGTAGTAATGTGTTTTTATTACATGTACTGTACAGCACTTTGGCTCAACCAAAAATCGCTTTTAAAATGTGCTTTATAAATCAAACTTATTTGATTTATGCCACAGACTGTATCATCCAGGACTAAAACAGGTAGTTTGGCAATGTGATAACATATATAAGTTTTCAATGACAATGGAAATCGTCAGCTGTCCTCATCCCTTTATTTGAAGTTAGGCAGATATCTAAACCAACACTGTTCTTAGCTCTCACGTTTTTATTTGACCAGAAGCGTTTCAAAGAAAACCTGTAAGTATTCAGCCAGAACACGCATGTGCTTCAACATTACTTTCATTTTCCTGTGCACTATAATACATTTTTTAGATGTGCTTCTTGGTTTTTAATCATTTACTTAAGACCATACACGGAATAATGGGAAATTAGATTCTGTGGATGGGTACGCACACTTTGTTCCTGTTCAAGAACATGGGGAGGTATTGCAGTTATACCCATGATCCGAGCACTGAGTTCATTCTTTAGTCAAAGAGTTTTATCCAGACTGAAGCAGAGACACAGTCTTGATTGTGAAGGGAGAGGTGACTGGGTTCTCTCTAGAGGCATCCATTACAATACATTATTATTCTGTCCTGCCTATCTGTAAATGCTTCCCGATCACCAGGGACTCTCAGCCCGCTCGCTTCCCGCGTAGCCCATCTGCAGAGCCAGGCGAGCCAGGCAGGACTGTAAATGCCAGAGTTGGAAAAAAAGGCACACCACAAGAATAAGATGTTCCTGCCTCTAACCTGTCAGGCCTAAATGCATATTATTTAAAAGTTTATAACAGAAAATAAGGAAAAACTTTACTCCTGGCAGACATTGGGTACCATTTGGTGTAGAAATGCATTACTGTCAATACATCAAAGTTACGTAAATGGTGTTAGCATAATCTCTTTAAACAGACAAGAAAACTGCCAAGATAAACACACCATCTTCGTCGGTCATTTGAGCCAGCATGGTGGATTAAGCAGGGAATCTACACGACTTTTAAAAGAAAAGAATTACAGCACAAAACAACAAGATGTCCTTCTAGTACAAATGACGCTATGTTTCTTTTTCCAAATGGAAAAGACAAAGTTTGTAAGAAATTAGGTTTGCTTTTCTTAAAAACAATGCAGCAACAACAACACTCCTGTGATACAGGGAACCAATTATTTGAACTAGTCCGTCACAAATAATCTGACACCAATATATTGAAAATACCAATGTTGTACCTTAAGGATATTTAAGGATTTGGATTGACTATTGATTTTTAAGACTAAACCATCTACTATTTACCTCTATAGCACACTATTTTTACAATTATTTGAAGATTTTTGCATCCACATTTTTAGAAGACGTGTATATATTAAATATGTGATGGAGATGAGGAGAGACAACATGTGTTTTTGTTTACCATTTTGGCCATGTTCTCAGTGATGGGCTTTTGGGCCTCCACAGAGTCGATGGTGATGGTGCAGTCCTGCTCAATGGTGAGCTGTTTTTTAAAACGCTGCTGAAGCTCCTCCTGACTGAAGTCCAATGTAGGGTACCGGTGGTCCGACCGCTAAAACACATGCACACAAACACAACCGTGAGAAAGACAGACAGAAACAGAGAAATAACCGATTCCTACAGTATGCCATTGAAAGATTTTTGTTCACCTTGTGGTTAACCTCTAGAGACAGAAGGTTGAAAGACCCTGACCTTCTTTGTATTTGCCTCTAACCTGCCCACCAATTGATTGCTGGTCTTTTCAGGGCAGTTATCAGAGGCCAAGTCTTAAAAGCATTTTAGTCTGCTGCAAAGAAAGCGTTAGTGTCAAAATCTTTGGCTTGGTAATGCGAGAGTGGAAACCCAGAGTTCATTTTTCTTCTCAGTTTGATATTATCAAGATTTGAATGAACATATATAAAAAGGCAGTTAAGGGGGTCCAAAGCTTAAATGTTAAAAACATTTTCAAAGATCGAAAAGAAAATCTAGCGAAGTGGTCAATTAATGCAAAAATGTTTTGATCATAAATAGCCTGAAATGAATTGCTGAGTGTATGCTTAGTAAATTAACTATCCAAATGCCATTCGAACAAAGCACCAGATAAAATCAGATTGCATTGACAAAGGAAACAACTGAGCAACAGACTGTCACACAGTGCCACATTTCTTACTAAAAGAAATACAATGTGCTTTATAAATGTCAGTTATTGTTTAAAGGAGGTAGTGACCTTGCCAAGGCAGTAAGACCATACTATATGTCGTAGAAAGATTGCAGCCATTAGTGGCTGTAGTACAGCGGTAAGAACATTTATTCGCTCCTAGTAAATCAGGCCTTGGAGAGATGGAGCATGGACCGTAGCCAGAGCAGAGTTTAAGGTAGTCTGCCACATAAATTGCTCACCAGACAGCTCTTGTGCAATATTACAACTTCAGAAAAACAGATGCGCTAAAAAGCTAACACAGGGAAAATTGTGCTGGCACATAGGGTTGAAAGTGCAAAGAAAAGCAAAAAGCTCTACAGAAAGGACTATCCAGCTGTGTGACTTTATTCAAATACATAACAACATTGTAAAACTGTCCAAACCTATAATGTCCCGTGCATAGACTGTATATATATATATATATATATATATATATTAGGGCTGAACGATTAATCAATTTTAAATCGAAATCGCGATTTGAAAT